ATTTGAGGGACGCATGAGAAAGATAAGAGGGACTGATATGGCAATAGTGAAGTTTTCGAGGGACCGGAAAGAAAAATGAACTCCGGGTGCGACTAGAGTAGTCCTCCGTCAATTCATCCATTAAGAAGGGGGCGAAATCAAAATCTGCAGTAGCACGGCCCGAGACCGAACCGGAGCAGTTGGTCTTCTACAGCAGGCAAGGAAGGAAAACCTGTCGTAGGCGCCGCGCTGCGGTTCATCCTGTACAACAACTCTTCTCTCCCTGCGGAAAACGCGAGGCGAGCAGCGAAGCCCCGGAAACGAACAAAAGGATAATAAAACAATTGCGTCGGTTGGTTGTGGTGGTGGTGTGGTTAGGGTTAGTATGGTCGGAGTCCACGGTCCGGTTCGGATTGCTGGTGAGCATGTTCCCAGGCGCAATGTGAGACCGCTCCGCCGCGGCATGGAAGCGCAGAGCGCTTGCACGGACTGCTCCTGGAGGCGGCGGGGTTCGGGTTACACCGCCGCGAGCTACTGTCGCAGACGCGCTCCGCCTGCATCCCTCCCGCTGCGCCTCGACGTGACTGCGCGGTGGACCTGAACGGGCCTCAAGCAGGAGTGCCCTGCGCCAACTGCTCGTCGGCGCCGCTCGGCATCTCCAAGGATCCGGGAGCGACGCCTCCGCCTCGTCAACTGGCGAACTGGGCCGCACGGTGCAACGCGCATTTCGCCCCTGGTTGGCTGCCCGGGAGCGTCCCTGTACCAGCCACTAAGCCTCGAAGAGCAGTTGGCTACGTATTAGGTGTTCATTATCATATATCAAAGAAAAAAAAAAACGAGCTGTTTAAGGCCGATGGGACTTTTGATACCTCGTCAACTGGCGCAAGGGCGGGGCCCGCACCGGTGCCAACGCCGGCAATTTCGCCCTTGTTGCTGCCGACGTCCGTACCACCACTCAAGCCTCGAAAGCATTTATATATATATATATATCAAAAAAAAAAAAAAGCTTTTAGATGGACTTTAAACCATCCTTTTTTAGATGGATTTTTAATGATGATCCAGGTGCTGCAACGGAGGCAAGGGCTCGCTTCTGGTGGATTGACGATCAAGGACGTCAACGATGCCCTCGATCAACTGGCTTCCCGAGAAAATAGGTGCTATTCTCTTTTATTCCGTCTTATTATATTATTGGCTCAATATTTGTTTTTATATACATATGTATTTTTTAACATTTTGATAGGGGAGAGAAAACTGCTGTCCTGTCTGACCTTATTAAGAAGACCAATGCTGTAGAAATGAAGTGGATACTGATGATCATTCTTAAAGGTTTGGGATTTTTTTTTTCGAGATATCTATCTCTTTATATTTTTTTTTTCAAATTAAAAATCTTTTTTGCTGGATAGAGGCGATCATTTATTGTTTTGCAATTTGGTAGATTTAAAGCTAGGCATTAGCGAGAAAAGCATTTTTCATGAATTCCATCCTGATGCTGAAGACCTGTTCAATGTCACTTGTGACCTGAAATTAGTCTGCGAGAAGCTGAAAGATCGCAGTCAGCGACATAAGCGGCAGGTATCTTTTCAGGGTATAGGTTTATACATGTGACTATCAGACCCCTATTGGTTCATGAACTTTTATTATTTGTCTTCTGCAACCTTTTCAATAATCTATTGCTTCTTCTTTCAGATGAGTCTATAGGGTATAGTTTTCTTGTCTATCTGGATGATGAGTTAAAGAACAGACCTTTCTGTTAGATCATGAAAGTAGTACAAACCTATGTAATCACAAGTTTGAAGCATATTCAACTGCTTGGTTCACAACCAGGACCCTGTCATTCCCATGCACTTTACCAGTTCATTTACATATATGCATGCTTAGGACCTTTACATTGTTTGCAAGATTGAAGTTCGTTTCACGAGTTGGAATATTTCTGTTGAAATTTAGATTGTGGAAACATCTATAAGTGATCAACTGACTTTTCAAAGTAATTGTGAGGACATCTGTGTTTATCATTTTCTTTATTGTATTACGATTTCAATTTAACAATTCCTAACGTGTCGTTGTAAATGATACTATTGTAGAATATTTTAAAAAGTGAAAGCCATCGGCCCTTAAGCATGAGCATCAAGAATGTTTATTTTTACATTCAAGGTACAAAGTTTAAAATTTCAGTAGTATGATTCATTATACATACCCGGTTTATATGAAATATATGAATAAGGGTGGGATTGGCAGCTATAAGCAATATGAATTGATATGGAAAATACAAATGCTGTGACGCCCTTGGTTTCACACAAGGCTGCAGTCCAAGGTGAACCCAAGAATGTTAAACCTGTCATGCACCCAACATTGTGCAACAACATATTTCACTATCACAGTAATATCTCTCTAGTGAAATCAAACAATGATCAAGTGTAGGTACAAAGCAGATAAAGTAAAGATAATAATGCAAGGAACACAAGATAAAGAAAGCTCCAATAATAAATGTAAGTGTGTTCCACAAAAGAAAAGAAGTATATCTGATAAATTGAAATAAAACTATGAATCTCTAACATGTAGGAGTCAACTCAAAAGTACATAAGCACTCAGCCTCCAAAATAAAATACAACTCTAGAAATCAACTAAAACAACTACTAAGCTAATGTGGATCAATAACTGACTATGACAGAACGACGACGACTATGCAGGAACTCTGTCAAACTGTGGCTTTTCAAAACTCTGATCCGCTGCCTAAAAAGAAGGGAAAACAACAATGTCAGAGCGCTAGCAAGAACATCTCCATCTGCCCCCAGGAGAAGGGCTACTACATATGACTGAGGCTCTACCTAAAATATGCATAGTCTACCTAATTCATTTACATTGTACTAAATAGAGTTAATATTTAGAAATCCACAACACGAGACTGATACATCGAGCGAAGTAATCCAAACAAGAAAACCTTCATATATATACGATATGTCTCAAATTGTGAATCGCTAAATATCAACTCCAGACTGAGAATAAATAATAAAGAAATACTTTACAAAAATACCATCTCAAACAGTGTCATAAATGTCAAACCAAATACCTCGCACTACCATTGGGTAGATGATACAAATATGAGTACATAATCCGGTATAACCCAAAATACAATATACTCCGTCGTCATATAACTCAACGGTGAACCATGTCCATAACTAACTCCCACCTAAGCCTCAAGCTGTCAAAAGTTTCACAGTACTATCTCTTGCAAAGTTCTATAGGCTATAGCTCATCCCATTATTTTGTGGAAAGGACTACCTGTTCAGGCATCCTAAGAAAATACAGCTCACTAGCCTCATCGCATCACCATGCAGAACGGACTACCTCCTCAAGCATCCTACAAGTACGACTCATTAGTCTCATCGCATCACCATGCGGAACGGATTATCTATTCAGGTATCCTACAAATATGGTTCACTAGCCTCATCGCATTATTATGCGGAACAGACTACCTATTCAGGTATCCTGCAAATGCGGCTCACTAGCCTCCTTCAACGGTATACCAACGCACTACCCTAAGCAGTACCGAGCTGTGCTCATCAATGGTATCCATACATACATATATGCTATTCTAATTAATCGTCTCCCAGGCGTGGTCAAAACAATACATGAAATTATTTTCTCCCAGAGATCTGTGTGTGCTAAAACTCCATACGTGTACATCCATGGTTGCGCGTGTGTACATACGGCTTGAACCTCATGTTCACAACCAGACAAGCGTGGAAAAGAAAAACCTTCATCAGCAATTTAACATGTTGGTCGACTGCCCTTGAGCATTGGTCGACCAACGACGAACGTGCACAATGTGTACAACACTACAATCCATTATCAGTCGACCGACGATAGGAGTCGATCGATCGAACAGAAAGAAAGATTTAAACCTGACAGTCTATCGGTCGACTGATCTTTCTGATCAATCGACCGACCAAGGATATGTCGAAGACCTGTAAATCACTATTGGTCGACTGATCAACATAATCGGTCGCCCGATGTGCACTGATACGGGATATTTACAGGTTTTTGTGTTTTGCAACTTTTCTCAAAATCGAATTTTGTAAGCTTGTAAAGCAAAACATGGTTAAACTTTCATAATTACTTAAGAATGGATTAGCCTAAACAGGATTAGATCGCTTAGGTTCATAATTCTAGGTTTAAACATCCTAATCATCAATATTTTCAATTAATTTGATAAATTAGGGTTTTAATTATTTAAATTCGTAAATTAACAATTAATCTGAAAACTAATGATCATGATCATGTATTCTTGTTGATTAATTTGTGATGAATTCTACAGATCTTTTCATTAGGTTAAGTTCTAATCATCAAATCTAAGATTTACTCATCAAAAGATTAAGATCTAAGCATCGGATTTAAATATTGCACATCATATTTAAATTTTACTTATTAAAGATCAGAAATTTTACAGGGATAGGTTTGGAGGAAGGTGTTCTTGCCTTTGGTTTCGTTTTGATCTCTCTCTCTGTGTGGAAGAAACGCGGTCCTCCTTTACCAAACGTCGTAGATCTCACATCTTCTCGGTATTTGCTTCACAAAGCTCTCCCAAACTCGCAATCTAGGGTTAGGGTTTAGAGAGAGGATGACTGCTGCTAGGGTTCAGAGATTATGATGAAAAAAATCGTGAAAACATGTATATATATACTTATATGCAATTGGGTCAAAAACCGACCCAAAACTAAAGCCCAAAATTCGTGTTCATCGGTCGACTGGTTGTGAAAATCGGTCGACCGATAAATACACATCAGTTGACCAGTCTTTCCCATCAGTCGATCGACCCGAATAAAAATCCAACTTACAGATTTTGATATATTTTGATATATTTTGTGTATGATACTCACATATATATACGTATTCGATCTCAAATCGATTTCAAACATGTTAATTCATCCCAAAATAGTTTCAAACATGATAAAACTCATATTTTATCATTTTAAAATAATATTTTAAAATTTTACGGGGTTTTACAGTACAATAGGCAATGAAAGTGAAAGCCAAAATTAAATGCTAGGAATGATGTGGCTCTTATCGGTGGCCAAAGTAGTGATTATTAATGACTTGATCAAAGAGATGGAGCAAAAAACATGAGGCATGTGCCAAAGGAATCTGTGTGTCGAATCTTACAGTTCAAACTCCTTCATTTGTTTGTTCATTTGCTATAAGATTGAGGCAAACCTTACTGATACATCATAAAGCACACGTGGGCAGGTTCTGTTATCTGAGTTTTTTATACTGAAGTTCTTGATAGCTGATTGATGTCATTTTTGTTTGTGATGTATTCTTCATTGTGCATTGTTGTAAATAATGAAGGACCTTCTATTGTTTTGCTAGGATATAGAAGTTGGGAAAGCTGTTAGGCCTCAGCTAGCTATGCGTGTTGCTGATGCTGCTAGCGCATGGAAGAAGGTAAGCTCATATCCTAGTCCCTCTGGTCCACAATTATATCTCTATATGGTTCTTTGGATTGTTGGAGATTGACATATTCCATATTGGTTAGTTTGGAGCATGAAGCATGGATGTTTCACAAGAAAGTGCTTGTTGTCATAGTTGTGGAGGTGTAGAAACTGCACCGGTTAAAGACAAAGTGAAGAGCTGACTGACATAAAATATATGAGGAGGCCGTGGATGTGTGAGTAAAATTTTGATTGTGTTAGGATTAAAAACATGAGAAGGGATATCAGATAGCGTACTTGATGGAACGTAAAGAAACTTGCAGCAGTACTAGGTTTATGCAGCTTTCAAATATTCCACCATGAATACTTGGGACAAGGACTACCGTTTGTTGCAATTTAACTTAATTTGTAATGGCAAGCAATTCATTAATATGCAATAATTAGTGTATTTAATTTGTTTCTCTACATGTTACATACCATCCTTGTAGATGGTACATTGTTACTCACTGGAGCAGATACCCCAATCAGCCGCTCTACAACTAAAAAAACCAAAGAAATAAAACAAAAAACTCAAGAAAAAAACATCAAAAAGCACCACCACTACCGCCATCCACCAAAACACCACCAACAACAACAACAAAACAACCTCTCCGTGGTAGTGGTAGACTGGTAGTGCACAATTTGTACTTTAGCAAGATAAATGCATAACATGAAGTGTAATGCAACTTTGCATATAACATGGGAAGAAATAATATAATATGTTAATTTATGATAATATAAAATGATACATGCTGTTTGAAGCAGGGTGGGAGTTTAAATTTATTTCCAAAGATGATAACTACCAGTTAATCTTTTGAATGATGTAGCAGAAAGTTATGCATCCTCTGGTCATCACTCTTGTAACTGGAGCAATTTAGATGGTTGGCTAATTTTCTTCTCTTATTTGTAATTTACATTTTCCCTTCATTTTCCTGTTTAGCTTCATGGAAAGAATGTCGTTGTCGAGTGCAAATTTGATGGTGACCGCATTCAAATCCATAAGAATGGATCAGAGATACACTACTTCTCACGGTAGGTAGATAGGCATATAATGAAGCATTTGGCTTTCTCTTTCCTATCTTTTCTTTTGGCTTTCTTTAGATTTTTGTCATCTTTTCTTCTCTTGCTGCATTACCTTCTAAAGCCATCGTTTACTTTACCTGAGGATATTTTATCCAGTAGATTTGGCTTTTTGGGGTGTTCATCAACCACTAATCCTTGGATGAAAGAAGTTAAAACACTATCATTGACTTCCAACCTTTGTGTTTTTCTTGTTAAAAATGTAATATCTGGTCCAACGTCAATAAGATGTTTTGAGTACTAGTGAAGTTTAATTTCTTTTGCTGTCCATACAGGAATTTTCTTGACCATTTGGAATATGCACCTGGCATGTCCAGCATCATTTTGCAAAATATCCAGGTTGATAGGTAATCATCCTTGTGAGGACTTGCTGCTTTTATTTCGGTAATTGCTCTGTCCAGCATTATTGCGCATTATCATCCAGGTCAATAGGTCAGCTTTTTCATGCAAATATTCCCTTCTGTTTGATTCTTTTATTGTTATTTATTCAGTCGAGTATAATTGTGTAAACTATAATATGAAGAGATCTGCATTCTGGATACTTATTTCATATCTAATTTCTCAGCAAATTTTCTTAAAAACTATTCATTTCAAATTGGAGCCCCTTTAAGAATGTGCTCTGTTTCTTTTTTTTTCTTTGCAATATCCAAGGGAAAATGTCTGCAGTATTTGTTTCTTAAATATAATAATTTTATACATGGTTACTTAACAAATCTATCAGCAGATCTGGAAGTGACCACACCTGCTTGACTGTCACGAATTACCTATGCTTATTCGATTCAATTCAAGGGCATCGACAGAAACCCAAAATCTGGTCTGATAGTGTACGCAACAGGTCATATAAAGCAAGGTTTTAAATGTCGGCCGACATGTTCGACATGTCGGCCGACATGTCGGTTTGAGGGCTTGAGCTACACGACATGGGCATTTTCAATTTGTATATCGCTTTTCAGGGCCAAATCGGAAATATCGGGCATATCGGCCGATTTTCCAGCTTTAAAAAATCGACCAATATGACCCTTTTTTTTAGATCTGTTTTTTGTTATCAGGTTTGGGTTTAGTTTAGTGATAAAAACCCAAACCTCTTTGACCTGTTCTCATGTTTAAGGGTTTCTTATGAACCCGATAGAAAGAAAAGACAAAAATTAGGGCTACAACGGGCTTGGGAATCGATCACTCTTTTCGTGAACGACGATGCCCTTCACCCACCTCCATCTCGGCCCCTTGTCGTCCATCTCCCGTTGCGTCCCGAAATCCGAACCCCAACTGAACCCGAGGGACGGCAGGGTATCCCATCATCGGGATAAAGGGAAGAGGGTGGTCGGTGACTCATCCGAAGGACCCCGAGCAGACGAAGAAGAAGAAGAGCCTCGGCACTGCCTCCCTGCGATGTCAAAATCCACCCATCACCGGCGTCGCATCTAAAATTTATAAAGTATGCTTATATTGAATTTAGGAATGCTTAGATTACATTTAGGACATGATATTATACATATGCGCACCACCCGATATGACAATCCGATATTTAGTCCATGTCCCCCGATATATCCCCGATTTTCGCTATCCGACATGAATTTCAGCCGTCCTACATGAACCCGACATCCGACATTTAAAACCTTGATGTAAAGTCACGCCAACATACTTGACTTGTGCAACATATGAAGGGGGGGGAGGAATCTGACGTGTAAATAGTTAAAGAAAACAAGACCATGGTCCATAAGATGCAACAGAATACTCAAATCAGAAGCATCAACCTTCAACTCATATTCATTTTTGTTTGCTTATGTTGTATTCCCCTGTCATCTTACATTACTCCAATTTCTTAAGTTATGCCGATATATTTAAGTTGTGCAACATATTAAAATCTGACACGTAAATAGTTGAAGAAAACAAGACCACAATCAATAATATGAAACAGAATACTCAAATCAGAAGGATCAACCTTTAACCCAGAGTTATGTTTGCTTCATGTCATATTCCTGGTAATCTTAGATTAGTTCCAATTTCCTTCAAATTTCCATTGTATAATATTGTGGTTTTATCTAAAATTAGCAGACTAAAACCTCTTGAAATTCATTATAGACAAACTAACTTCTTATGTCCTTTCATTTTTTATTCTACATCCACATTGCTTGAAGTCACTGAGAAGCCCAGTTTGTACTATCACCTGAATTCAATCACTTGCAGTGATATCAAGTTCAAATTCTAGTTGCCTACTATTCGCTCATCATCTTATTGGTTTGATCAACTGAAAAAGGAACTTCATTGCCTCTTTTCCTGTGGTTTCCCTTGGTTTCATGTTTAAATTTAATTACACCCACACCGATGTACCTGAGAGGCACTAATAGGTGCACACCATTAGGGATGTAGGGACTTCTTTCCGGAATTCTTGAATTGTGATGTTATTGGAATTGCTTGTCTTTTAGCATCTAATCTAGCAGTTTATATCATAAGACAATTGTTATCCAGGTTTATATTGGATGGTGAAATGCTGGTCTGGGACACCGCAACTAATCGTTTTGCAGAGTTCGGCTCCAACCAAGAAATAGGTTTAAATAGCTTGATACTTATTGTTTATCATATTTAAATTTTATATGTTAGCTTTGAATAAAGGGGGAACTGTTTTGCAGCAAAAGTGGCTAGGGAAGGATTGGAGAGTGATCGTCAGGTTCATAAATACACACCGCGTTTATTTTGTTATTTTCTGATGTTATGATAATAATTACAGTAGATTAATTTCATGCCCATATCTTACATGCAGTTATGCTGTATCCTTCACACGAGATCCAACTTTGTGGTCTGTATTTGTTTGGTAATATTTGAAAGTTCCTGTAGAAAGTATCTAAACAGTATACTCCTGTATATTGTTAGCATGTGGACTCCACAATAACTTGGGAGGATAATTTCTTAAATATAGGTATGGTGACTTCTCCCAGTTTCTTGAAAAGGTTCACGTGGCAACACGGATAATATGTCATTTGTGGTTGGAAATTTTGTTTCTATTAAATAAATTTGAAGTTATGAACTGAAGGAATTGTTTCTATTAAATAAATTTGAAGTTATGAACTGAAGGAATTGTTTCTATTAAATAAATTTGAAGTTATGAACTGAAGGAATTGTTTCTATTAAATAAATTTGAAGTTATGAACTGAAGGAATTGTTTCTATTAAATAAATTTGAAGTTATGAACTGAAGGAAATCATAGATAAAGATTGTGAGTATAAAAACTAAGGAGGCAACAACTATTAAAACTATGGTTTTTCTTATATTAGACCCTAAATTAGTATATCTGTCCCCCAAATCCTTTAAGTTGCTCTAATTACACCCCTAACAGGCTCCCTGCATGCAGCAGTTTACTTGCATGACTATATTTGTGCATGTTCATCTTTGCTAAGTCTGGCAATTGGCATTCGAAGGATCCAAAACATAGGTTAGTTGATATATGAAATTCAAGCAAATTAGTTCGCTTTCACAGTGACAATATATGCATGTGTTCATGTCAACTGTAAATAAGCTATTGGGTGCACTATATATCTACATCATAATTTTTTATTTTCTAGAAAGATTTGGAAAGAAATCTGAAAAAAATGAAAAAGCATTCATTTGCAGATTTTTGTGCACTTTTTCACTGCTTGTCACATGAATGACTGTGTTCTATTAAAACCCAAATCTTATATATACTGGATTCACATTTCTGTGTAGAGAGATCGTGCAGTGTATTTGTACATGAGCATGTGTCCTACAAAACAACAACTGATTCATTTGTGATGATTCCATCCAAAAGTTCTAGTCTCAGTATTCATTCTTGCTTCTGATTATGCATAGCACCACTAATCTTATGTTTATTATGTGATAAAGTTCAGTCCGGACCATTTCTTTGGTTGTTGTGTTCTTGACATCAGATATGATTAGATGTTGCTTTCGATATTCTTTATGTTGGAGACACTAGCGTTATTCATCAGAGCTTGACAGAACGGCATGACCTTCTACGGAAATTTGTAAAACCTGTGAAGGGTCAGCTAGAAATTTTGATTCCTGATGGCGGTCTTAACGACCTTCGTTCACCAGGTAAGCAATTATAAGAAACATTTGTCTTTTCATTTCTGTCACCTCTAGTTATTGGCAATACTTTCGTCTTGTACTACAAATTTTTCTTATTGTACCATCTCTCTTCGTTGAAATGAAATGCAAGACTCATTTGATTAGAGTGTTTAATCTCCATTTTGTTTGCATCTATGCTAGTGACAGATGAATTGTTTTCTATATCTTTGTTATGATGTAAGTCTTTATTCTGTTTCAAGCTTGCTTGCTTGCTTGTTATGAATGTAAGTTATATTCTATTTCTTGTTTCCTAACTTATATTTGAAACTTCTTAGATGGATGTCTCTTTGACTTTTCAGGTGAACCTTGCTGGTCTATTGTTGCTTACAGTGTTGAAGATGTTGAGAGGTTTTTCAGGGAAACCATTGAGAATAGGTTATGATTTTTACTCACTAGTATATCCCTATAATGTGTGTAATGTTGCTTGAGGTCAAGTATTTAGTTAAAGGCTCCATTTGTAGTTGCTCTTCGAAGCATAATCTTTCTTCCTTGTTGACAAACATACACAAGGAAACATGCATGTTTTATCTTTAGTTAACTAATTGGCATTATAATTCTTACACAAATACCAATTTCTTGTGAATATGGTTTTCACTCATTTGGGAAGTGTTTGTCATCTAAAATGAGCTTTCTCCTATCTCGGAAGCTAAGTGTTTCTCCTCTTTTATCTTATGATGATGTAGTGTGGATTGTGTTCAATCAACTCGGCCATTCCTTGTCAAGGTTTAAAGTTTACTTCGAACCATGACTCCTGCAATACACTGTTTTTTTTTTTTAATTAAAAAAGGGGAAAACGTGATACAGAGATTTACAATTAGCTATGATCTTTATCAAGGATAAGTACCAGTTAGCATTTATGATGATACATAATTACATATACTCTTGTGTACACTGTTGTATAGAAGTTAACTGTCCTCGTTGATATATGTTTCAGAGATGAGGGGATTATATTAAAAGATCTTGGTTCCAAATGGGAGCCTGGTGATCGGAGTGTAAAATGGATGAAATTGAAGCCTGATTACATACATGCTGGTGCAGACCTGGATGTCCTTATTATAGGTTTTGTATCTTCCTTTTATTTTAATATATATTCTTCTCATGTAATCCATCAACTGGAATAAGTAAATTTTAATATATCATTTGTTTCAGGAGGATATTTTGGCTCTGGTCGACATGGAGGGGAGGTGGGCTCAGCTTTATCTATCATTTTAGCTTATATCGTATATTTTCAAACAGTTATGATGAATTTACCTAGCTCTCCGCTTGGTCATCTGTGAGTTATCTTACACTGCAAGAGCGCAGTAAAGATGTCTCGCGATGGCTTATGAGAGCTCAGTGGTTTGTTAACTGGAAGGCGAGTGGATGTCCATTCTTCCACTCGTCTTGATGTTTTCATGCCATTAGCTCAACTTAATCTCCATTTTCTTTTGCCTGAATAATTGCAGGTAGCTCAGTTTTTAGTTGGTCTCGCGGAGCATTCAGGCTCTAGCGGTCACCCAAAACGGTGATCTACTCTTGCATCTCTCCCTAATATACTAGTTCTTTTTTTTTTACTCTGTAAGAATTTCTGATTGCGTTTTAGGCAATAGTTTTTAGTAGCTTTTCCTGTTCAAAGCCACCTGTGGTGTTCATGCAAACTTTTGCATTCTTGCAACAATTTAGTCATTTCTTGATGATAGTAACTCAAGTGTCATTTTGTTCATAAATAGTGCTCAAGAGAAATTTATGCTCATATGCTGTTTAAACATAGTATGACATTGTAGCTTAGAGTTCTAGGTTGTCATGATCTTGCTAAGTAGGTAATATGACGAGGATAGAATTGAAATTTTCTTGCATTGGTCATTAATGCAAGCATCAAGACTTACTGCTGCCTAAATATTATGCTAGAACATGTAGAAGTTAAGTTGCCTTTGCCTCTGGTTTAGAATATCACAAGTTGATTCAGAGGCCTCATGATGGCCCAATAATCATTGTGACCCAAATGCTAAAACTGTTTGATCAACGATATCCAATTTTTACACAATTACAATATTGTATTCCTCCCTTGCGATATGTAGTTGTCTCTGGCTAGAATCATCAAAAATTGATGCAGAGGCCTTACATCTGTCAGACAATCAATTTAACACATTCTTAAGTTGTTTGGTTAACAATTAGCAGCAAACAAACTTAGCACTTCTCACTTGCGGCACAATTGCATGTGGGTAGGCAGGATAATGCAATTAAATTTTTTTAATAATGGAAATTTCAACCCAGGAACCCAAAAATCTCGATGCTTGGTTACAGTATGGGGTGTGGGAATGTATATCACGAATATTCAGATACATGTCTCCCATGTAGGTTTAATGTGCTGTTTTGAGTAAGTTACACATCATACATGGCATATTTGTTCATATTTCCAATTATTCCCTTTTTTTAGGTCGTCTTGCTTGTTCAGTTTTAAAAAAATGTAGCAGATTATTACATAGTGATTTATGCTTGACGTTTTTGGATATATCCTCATTCAGTATTATAAGTGAATATTTAATATCACAAGTAATGGTATTATTTATATTATTCATGTAGATTTATTTCATTCTGTCGTGTCGGTACGGGTCTCTCTGATGAGGAGCTTGATGCTCTCACCAACAAATTGAAGCCTTACTTCAGGTATTCTTTGCTTGGACTCATCAAGTGTTATCTTCCATTTATTATTTTCCTATCATATAACTTTTGATTGATAGCCTAGAAAGTAACTCCAGCATGCTTCACTTAATGTCTAGTTATTTCACTCTCTAGCCCAAGGCAGAACCAGGATAAAGGAGGAAGATCATATTAGTGTATTAGGTTGTTGATATCTACTGTAGAGATTACTTAGATCTCATGAAATAAATCCTAAAGGCATATCTAATGGTTTGCTCGTCAAAGTTTACCTTCTAACCTTACGCCAACATCAGCTTAACCTCAACCTGACCAAGCCAATCACAGGCTGACTGTATTTACCTTCTAACCTTACGCCAACATCAGCTTAACCTCAACCTGACCAAGCCAATCACAGGCTGACTGTATTACCTTGAGAATGCTCATGCCTGATCAGCTTAACCTCAACCTGACCAAGCCAATCACAGGCTGACTGTATTACCTTGAGAATGCTCATGCCTGATTTCATTTCCTAGTGCCAACTCAGTCTTAATGCAAAGTTTGGGGCAAGGCCGAGACTCTCCTGCATCACTAACAGTTTAAACCTGAGCTTTTTGTTGCAAGTCTAATTCTACTTTCTTATGATAACCTTTTTTTTTCCAACCATCTTCAGGAAGAATGAATACCCAAAGAGGCCCCCTCGATTTTATGAAGTAACAAATCATTCGAAGGAGAGGCCGGATGTTTGGATTGACAGTCCTGATAAGTTAAAAGTTCTTATTTTATTTTATGCTTCCCATCTTCTGAAATTACGTTTGGATTGACAGTCCTGATAAGTTAAAAGTTCTTATTTTATTTTATGCTTCCCATCTTCTGAAATTACGCTGGTACTTATTTAATCTAATATTGCAGGTCGATTATACTTTCTATAACGAGTGATATCAGAACGATTAAGTCTGGGGTACTCTGCATATAATTTGGGTGTTTTGAGTTGCATGTTTTTTGCAGTCTTTCAAATGCCTTCAATGCTTGATATTCATACTGTTTTCTTACATGTACTGATGTTCATAAATTTATTTGCATCTTAGGTATTTGCTGCGCCATATAGTTTGAGATTCCCACGTATTCAACGTGTGAGATATGACAAACCATGGCATGAGTGCCTTGATCTGCAATGTGGGTATTTATGTCCATAATTATCTTTGTTGTCCTATGATTCTTTTTTGCACTGAATCTGGCTTTGAACTTTGAAGTTTTTCCTAGTGTGTCCTTAAGCTAGCTTTCCTAAACAACAAAAAATGTATTTTCTTTTGTTAATGTAAACTCTAAAGCAGTGTCCCAAAAGAAAAAAAAATCAATGTTGTCAAACAGAAATCCATTATGCCTGTGCTTGGGCAACACATAATGCATGATCAAATATTGCAGAAATGTATGTATGTTTGTGTGCGTACATGCACCCACGCGCACACAAGCTCACATGCATAGACATGGTGCTGAAATTGTTCCAAGAGTTCAACCCATTGGCTTCACTTCTCTCCAAGTCCTCTATGTTTCTGGCAGTCACTTGGCAGTTATGAACATGATGTCTCCACTTTACATCTCTTCTACCACTCTCATAATGCCAGTATGCCACAACTTATTAATTTGCAATAGTCATACGTATTAGTTGGGACTTCTTTTTCCCCTTTCTAATCTTATCCTTAACGACTTCACATTAAAGGTTCTTGTGTTTTTTCAAATTAGATTTTTTGTAAACTTCGTGATGGATGTAAATAATGCTTTGTGGTGATTCAGATGTGGGTTACCAAGCGATGTCGTGGGGAGTTCCATTGTTCAACTAAAGATAGGATTTTGTTGATCACCCTAGTAATTTCATGTGTCACAAATTCTGAGGTAGATGTCTAGATGAGTAACATGAATTATACACCATTGTAGCATTAAGTAATTCCAGGAGGAAAGGATGAAGAAAGGCTTTTGTAATAAGGATCTTTTTTCTAGTAATATGAGTGGATTAGGTTCTTGATATTGATTTCGTATTGTTGTTAAATTGGAGAGTTTCCTTGATGTACATTCAGTTTGCAGAATTGTTCACAAGGCCAATTTGATTTCTAAAACTTCAATTGCTCTGTTCTTTCCCTCATTCATCATTTACAAGATGCTTATAGATGCCAGTCGTTTTACACTTTCACTGGGTGCTTTCTCCTCTCTGCAGCATTTATGGACTTGGTACATTCAAGTAACGGAAACACACAGAGACCTGACCATGGAGCTCCGCAGAACCAAATCTCTAAACATCTCAAAGCCACCAAACCAGTGAAAGGAGAGAAGAAAAATATTTCTGCCATTCCTTCTCATTTCAAGCAGACTGATGTCTCGGCTATAAAGGGGGAGACCTTTATATTTGCTAATATGATGTTCTGTATCCTGTTGTTTGTTTCACCCTTTCAATATTCATTCCCCTTTAACTTCATTTTGCACTTTTTGTGTGTTCTGATGTCTCTGCATTATCTTAAAAGATGTCACTAAACTGCTTCCTTGACTTTGTTAGATTTTATTAATGTCCCTCCATCTTATACTATTGACCATTTTCACAAAATGGTTGCTGAGAATGGGGGAAATTTCTCAATGAATCTCAATGATTCAGTTACACACTGTATTGCGGCTGAGAAAAAAGGTAATGAGTTTTCTTTGGTGTTAAATAAATGATCTTTGTACTTAGGTAATGAGTTTGGCAGGGATTAAATATCAGGCAGCCATGCGTCAAGGGGATATTATTCATGTTTCTTGGGTCTTGGATTGCTGTGCACAAAAGCGGCTCATACACCTGCAACCCAAGTTAGTTTTGAAACAGAAGATATGTAATTCATCTTAATGCTATCAATCGTTCAGTAATGAATTATTATATTCACTTTATGTTGAAGGTATTTCCTATTCCTTGCTGACTCTTCAAAGAGCAAGTTCCAGGGGGAGATCGATTCATTTCTTGATTATTATTACTGGGATCTAGATATCACGGACATGAAACAGGTATTGTCTTAGTTCTGAAGTATGTTTATTCTTCATGAACAATCTGTTGATAGTTCATCTAAAAGTGGAACAGTATAGTATTCTCTATGAAGTTTATGCTGGCGAAATTCCTACAGCATCTTAACGGATAATCACTCCCAATTAAGGATTTGCTTGAAAAATTTGATAAATCATACAGCACCCTGAATGGGCTTCTACCTGATTAAGTATTTGCTTGAAGAACTGATATTATCTTGCTTTGAGGTGTGGATTTGGAAGATATTTGTAGCTCTTCAGGTTTTTTTGCATTAATTCCACCAAATGGAATGTGACTGAAGTATAGATAAAAGAAATAGCTATTGATCTGTCATCGTTTATTCGCTTTGATTCTTTAAATTGGGTGCCCTTCATGCTTTTTAAAGCATTCACATGCGTTGCTTAAGCCAGTGTTACTCAGATTTGTGGTAGCTTTGGTTCATAGTATGGTAAGTGTATCGGATGTCAAGCATTAATCGGATCGGTATGTGGGCTCATACTTTCTCAAAGAATGAAAATCATACTAATTAAATTTAAGAACACAATCTAATTTCGGATGCATTAAACAACTGAAGTTAAAATTCCAAACATAAAAGCTAAAATGTAAGTCTCAAAAACTACAGAGTAACTTTATAAAGAAAAGGCGAACTATGCTGAATATAGGTAAGGAATCACTGAATCAGATAGTTATTAGTTCTCTTCTTTTATTTTTTCCGTCGCCAGTTTTAACATTCAGTCAGAAGTACACCACAAATCCGTATGCATGAACTGGGCTACTGTTTGTGATGGAGAAATTTAGGTAACGGTGGTTTAAACAGATTTCCCTTTAATTTGCTGGCTTGGAAGTTACAAATTTAAGTTCAGAACTACATAGACAGACTACTTAGTTAGCTGCCAATATAATATCGTCGTCAACCTATATGTGGAGATATATATGTCTGGTAACAGATGCTAGCTAACCTTATGATGGATGGAAGCTACATGTTAACAAGCTGGCCATTGACTCAGTGCAAATGGAAGCTTGCCTAGCCTTGTAGTTTCTGGGCTTTAATCAAGTGTTAAAGTTCTCTTAACCTGAATTATATCTTTCAAATTAATCCTATTTATGTAGTTTTATATGAGCCGGTCTTTCGCATGCCAGAGGATCGATTCCTGGACGTGTTTATTTGTTGTATTTGGTCTTTCTGTACCTGTAAACTAGATACTCCATTGCTTCTGATGCATGCTTTCAGTAGGTTAGCTCATGCACATTGACTCTGGCCCTTTGATTCTTCAGTTTATTATTATGTTTGTGATCTTCTTTCATGTTGATCAAACCATCCAAGGCGACCTATCGCCTCTGCTTCCAAGTTTCTGATGCCTTTGATATGTTTCTTCAGATTTTCAGCAATATGAGTGGGTTAGAAAACCTCAAATCCATCAGTTATTACAAAAAGAAATATTTTCCAATGGAATCAATGTGCGTGTTTCAAGATTGTCACATTTTCTTCTATGAAATGCCTATTGTGTAAGTTTTGTTGTTTAATTGGAAAATTATATCGGTTGAACAGAATTTTATTTCAAGCACCTCATCTTCCATTGCCTCAAAAAAGAACTTATTTAATGACAATTATGTTCCTGAAGGAACAAGGACTTGAGAATGGTATCAGAGCTTGCTCTCAGGAGGATGAGACTTGACATTACTATGCGTGGAGGTGAAGACTGTGACAACCTTGCACATGCTACACACTTAGTGGCTTGTTCAACCCTGGGATCCCACAACTTTGATGAATTATATAAAAGGTTTGCTCTGGTATTTTTGGGGACTTGTAATAGTGGTTGAGCTTGCAGCATGCACCCTCTTTTATTACACTGGCCAAAATTGCAACCTTTCTGTGATTAGCATTTCTTTAATTATCATTGCTCGTGCAGTTTCCCAACTGCTGAGAGGCGGAGGTTGCATAAGAAAAGGTTACATGTTGTGATGCATCAGTGGTTGGATGATTCCTTAGCAAAAGGCAAGAAGTTGCCGGAAGATGCTTATAATTTAAAGCCAGATACCTTACAGGATCTTGAATTTGAAGAAAGGTAGCTTGTGAAAATCTTAATTGCTGAACTGTTATGATAACTACTCTTGTGTTAAAGCACTTGATACCGGACGCATGACTAGTTAACAATTAAGGGTCCCGGATAATTACCATGCCAGTCACCTTGTTACCATTGTAGTATCCAGCGTGGACCTCTGTGGGAAAAAGAGAGGAGGGAACAAGACCCTGAGCTATTTGGTTTTTAATAATATACCATCTTGTACCGAATTCTTAGGTGTCATCTTTCATCTTTATGCAGCAAAGAGGATATCCAGGTTCCTTCCACCACAAGCGAAGTAGAAAGGCGGAAAGTTTCGGAGCCAGTTGACACAGGTGAGAAACGGAAAAGAGGGAGACCGAGAGGGGCAAACACAAAAAGAGGAACAGCAGCTCCAAAGCCCCATCGGAGGACCCGGGCAAGGATAGGAAACCGTGCTGCCAAATTAAACTCGGACGAAGCAGACAACATCAATCCTGTTGATGAATCTGATGGTGGAGAAGCTGATGAATCGATGGAGGAAATTCAGAGTGATTTAGAGGAAAATGATCGGAGTGAGGAAAATAAAGAAAAATAAGGGAAGAGAGTCGAAGAATTTGAGGACAAGGAAAGAAAAACAGAGCATGCAGAAGAAAGGCGCAAAGGTTCTGAAGTTGTAGCTGTTTCAGAAATCGGGAAGAAGGGAGCAGGTGAGCAACTGGAGCAAATGGTAGATCCACTGCAAGCAATGTTATTGGATATGATACCGACACTAAGTCAGAAAAGAGAAGGGACAGCCAGCTCTGTTGCCTCAGTCGTGGAAGGAGAGAAGAAAACAGAGACAGGAGATCCTGATGCTAGCGGTAGTAGCCCAGCGAAGAAAAAGAAGAGAGTTAGCTATAAGGACGTTGCAGATCAATTGCTGAAGGATTGGTGATTGTGTGCGGCTCTCAACATCTGTACGTTTTACGAAATTTCCTTCCCCTTCTCCGGTGATTGTGTGCGACTCTCAACATCTGTACGTTTTACCATATTTCCTTCCCCTTCTCCTCATGACCCCTGTGAATATTAGCTCTTGGTGTAGCATCTGTCTCCTTGAGTGTTGTACATTAAGAGGAGGTAGACGGTGTGCTTTTAGCATGGTTTTTGTCACAGCCAGAAGAGCCAGTGTGCTTCAGCATGATGGTTTAATCACTAATTAAGGTTTTGCTAACTTCGCAAACGGGTTGGCATTTTTTTGAAGGAGCTTTAGCTGCTTCATCGTCTGTATGAAGCCGAAGTGCCACAGCAGTCGCTGGTTCATGCAAGTTGTCACTTTGTGAGAGAGGGAGAGAAATGGGTATGTTTGGTACCAAACACAAGTTTTTGTGTTTGGTAGTGAGGTGATATATTCCTCCACTATTTGAAATCGGGTTCACATTCACATGAGTTAGGGAGTGGTTGAGAATTGAAATGAATGGATGAGAATAGACCACATCACTATAAAGCACAAATTTTGTGATTGGTAGTGAGTTGTCACATCTTCCTTAACTCATTCAAATGGGGGGATTACATTCACATAGGTTGAGAAGAGTGTATGAGAATATGTAACCATATGAATGAGTGGAAGGGATGTGACACCTCACTTGGTACCAAGCAAACAAACATTTCCTGTGGTCAAAACTCAAAAGAAAGAAAGCCACCACGTGCGGAAGCCGTCTCAAAGCGCACTGGGCATGAACCAATTAATCTCTCTCTATATACGAACAGCGCCCTCTCATCCTCCTCCTGCACAGGCACCGCACGGGGAATAGCGGACCGTTCTTGTTTGCTGGCCGTAGGAAGCCTAGGCTGACCACAAATGCATGAAAACCTCGTTTCCCTCAAATTACACATTTCCCATGCTGCTCCTATTATTACTCCTCTTAATTTAAGCATTAGCCGATCGATTAACCTTTCAATTG